TCTCCCTCTCTCTCTCTCTGTCTTTTTTTTTTGCCATTGTGGGGGCACAAATGCAAATTAAAAATAAAAAAGGGACGATCTAGGTAAACGGCTATTCTTTCTATTTTTTTTTTCACACAGGTATATGTATATATATATATATATATATATATGTACTACATATATGTAGATCGTTACATATAATTTGTGTGTGTGTGTTGTTTACGAGCATTATCGACGAACCCCTCGGTGAAAGGAACGAGCGCTTCAGTGGTGCGTGACAGAATTGTTCACGATCAGACGAGCATCACGCCTCCACAAATTTTGCACGAACGGTCGATTATCCTTCCGTTCATTTACCTGCGCGCGACCGATTTTCAAGCGGGAGATAAATACCTAGGCTTTTCGCGGCACACACACATTCACACACGCTCGCGCGCGTACACGCTTTCCTTTTTTTTTTCTTTTTCGTCGAAGTCTTTTCTTTCTTTCTTTCTTTCTTTCTTTCTTTCTTTACTCTATTTATCAATAATATATTTAAACAAAAATTCTGAAACGCGTAGAATCTCATCATATTATCTTATCAGAAAATTCGATGAAATTTGTATATATTACGGAAAATTGAATTTTCTTTCCAATATTGATATTTCTACTTCTTTTCTTTCCCATCAAATTTTCTCCCTACGTTTAGATATATGCTTTAAATGACAGAAAGACAGAAAAGTTGGATGGCCAAAAGTTTGATAGAGAAGTACAGTTTGACTTGAAAAATGCTATGCTAAGGAAATACTAAAGTTGAATATAAGAGGGAAGTTACAAATGTAAGGGAAAGTAAAGAAGAATTTCATCTCATCTATTGATATCAATCAATTCTATTTCGTAATTTTATTTTAATATTATTGAGAACAATAAAAAAAAAAGAAAATAACAAAAAAGAACAAATTGTACACATTTTCACGAACGTATAATGCAAAAATGTTTGTAACTAAAGTCAAAATACGAATTTCGTTATATAAAAAGTAGTAATTTTCTTGAATAATATTTTCTTTAACGTTCAAAGAAAAAACGCGAAGGTGAAAATGCTCAAGCAAAGATCCATAGAGAAGCACTGCGTGAGGTCCTGTTTGGTATAACATGAAAGAACGTATCCCATGGGAGTCAGGAATAGAGGAAACATACTGTACGCGAGTTTAGGAGCAAGGCAAAGTTTATGCAACCGGACGCGCGCGTTAGATGTCGCACGTAATTGAATGTAATTCTTATTCCTCTCACGTATGTCCCGTAAAGCCGTCGTGAGAGTCGGGTAAAGCGGTAAAATCGAGCAATACATGTTTGCATATATGAACGTACACGTGTTTGTTATATGTATTTATAACATATACATATTTACATATATATGGATAGAGTGAGTCACGTAATCTGTTACAAATCGTTTTTATCTTTAAATGTAAATAAAATAAAATACATCTATATATTTCAGAACATAATAATTTGATTATATAAACTAATCATAATGGAAAATAATAATAGATTGTATCTGTATGACCGAGATATCAAATAAAAACACGTTACATGACTCACGTTAAATATGCATATATCTACGCACGTATATGTATATATATATATACGTTTATATAACGTACGTTGTCTACTTCTAATGTTTGAACTTTTTTTATCTCTTAATTTGTCTATCTCTATCTGTCGTTTCCGGATGCAAAATTAGGCTATATAACTTGTCGGAAGAGCGATTAACTAATTTATTAATTCACTTGTTTGTGCTCCCCGAAAGGTTCTGAAAATTCTTCCTCCTCTCCTCCACGTTATTCTTCTTTGCCTCTATGATACACCTACGCGACAATTAAAATGCTAATAGCTACGATGGAATAATCGTTCCATTCTTTTACAAAGTCGATAATCTGTATGGAGTTAAAGTGGATATTGTCCTGGGACGAAGTGAAGCCTTTCTGTGAAGCCGTCCTATTGTTCCTACATACCCTACTACCTTTGCGAACTCACCCGGCATAATTTTAGATCCTCTTAACTTATCCCATTCGAGTAAATGAGAGAGAAAGAACGGGGGAAGAGAAAGAAAGTAAAAGAGAGAAAAAGAGATAGAGAGAGAGAGTGAGAGAGAGAGAGAGGAAGGGACAGAAAGGAGGAAAAGAAAGTTTCAAAGATCGATGAACTGTACCTAGTGGAAATATTTTCTACTTCCGGTCGATACCGGAAAACTTCGAACCATAGAATTTCCCTTTGGGGCTCGTGGAAAAGAAATTTTAACGAGGTCGTGATTTCTTTCAATCTTTCTCTCTGACATCTACACGTACCTATTTCAATGAGATAGAAAGAGAGAGAAAGACGTAGAGAAAAATAAAGCGAATTCATATTTAGTATGAAAAAAATCAAAGGATTCATTATCGTTTTAAAAGATTTCTTATAAAATAAACCGATTATCTGGTTAAACTGTTAAACATCATACGTATTATCTCGTTTTTTTTTTTTATAAAAAAAATAAAACTACGAGAAAAAAGATATGAGAAATGAACGGTGATCTTTGAAAGAAAGTAGGATCAATGAAAGAGACGAGAAATTTGAAGGAAAGAAGAAAAAGAGAAAAGGCAAAAGGGAAGAATGGAAGAAGAAATGAAGAAAGGAGGAAACGTGGGTGGAAAGAGATGGAAATTCAGTTTGCCTCGACGATCGGTAGGCGTCAGATTGAACTACTACCCATGCCAACAACCAAGACGAGGCTGGAGTTAATGGCGGAATTAACCTTAATTATCAGACCCTCCGGACTCTTTCATTCTGCCCTTTACGAGCCGACTGAGCACCAATCGTACTATCCCCTCTTTCTCTTTCTTTCTCGTTTAAGCACAAGCTTACCGATTCTTCTTCTTTCGATGAGTTTCGGCTTATTCCCTTTCTTTCTTTCTTTCTTTCTTTCTTTCTCTTTTGAATTCTTCTATCGTGTCTCTGTACTTTTATTTTCCTTTTATTCTTTCCTCAACCCTGTTTGTACCCTTCCACTCGGATCTTTTTCTTTTTCCCCATACGACCTCCTTTACGATTTCTTTCAAGGTATTTCGCTTTCGAGTTAGCCGAGAGTGAGATTGATAGAGAATTGTCCTTTGTCCGTGTGTGACCCTCTTTTCTCCGTGTTATCACGTTTACACACCCTTTTTAAACGTGTTCTCTCATCGACAGCCTTGCGCACGTATACACTACGTGTATCTTTGCCAAGAGAGAGTTTTTCACGTTCAACGTGGAGTCCTCTTTGAGAAAAAAAAAAAAAAAAAGTAAAATAAAAATACAAAAAAGAAAAAAAAATAAAAAGATGGATAGATAGGATAGATAGATAGATCGATCGATCGATCGATCGATCGATCGCCTTACTACGAACGGACTATCTCCTCAGTTGCATCGGATTTCCATTAACTGGTTTATACAAACGCGCAAACACACATATACACATACACATATTTGTATATATTTATTTACATATCGTTGTATCTCTCTCATTGAAAGAGAGAGGGAAAGAGAGAGAGAGAGAGAGAGAAAGAGAAAGAAATAGAAAAAATAAATTAAAAATGAATAAGATTTTTCGAAATGAAAAGCATGTCGGCTTCCAATTTTTATTTCCTTTTTCTTTTTTAGTTCCATATTTATACACATAATAAGCATACGATTACATCGTATTAGGTACTAAGATCATGTACATACACATAATATATATATATATATATATATATATTATATATATATCATCATATATTCAGCACGTTTTGTACAATAAATAAAGACTCTAGAGCATTTTTTAAAACACAACGTCACGTAGTCTCTTGCGATAATTATTTTTCTTCTCCTTTTTTTCTTTTCTTTTTTTTTTTTTGCATAGATTACAATTCGAATCAACGATTAACTGCATATACCTACATATATCGTCCCACATATTCGCATTCGAAAGGAATCTCCTTAAAAAAAAAAACATTATCATCGAAACGTGCGATCATAACGACGAGATCGACGATCGAATTCGAGAGAGAAGATAAATAATTAAAAAAGCTAACGAACACAATTAATATCTCTCCAACAAGTTTTCAACTATGATATAGATATAAATTTTGTTGTTGTTGTTTTATTTCCTTTTTTTTTTTTCTTTTTCATTGTTTTTAAGAAACGCACGATGGGCACACATGTCTACTTATACGGTTAATAATTTCGAGACACTTCGGGCAAAACGATCATAATTTTATTCGATTATCTATATCAGGACTTCTCAAAGTACGACTCGTGACCCTGTAAAGGGTGGCGAAAATTTGTAGTAAAAGAACAATTCTTGGACTCGAAATTGGTTTGACAAAAAATACGAAAATAATAGTTTCTGTGATTTTATGATAGTAAAAGAGAAAATAGTGTAGAGTTTATACTACCAGGATCGTGAAAATGTTGGCTCGGGTAAAAGAGGGTGGTTGTTAAGCGGAGAAGTTTGGGAAACCCGAATCTATGCAATATCAGAATAACCGCGACACACTGCAAGGATGATAGGGGGTATTATTTAATAAACTCGAGCTTTTTACGATCGACGATTAAAATTCGCCTAATTTGCGTAAAAAACAAAAAGCCCAAATTGGCATTGAACGTTTAAGCCAATGCCATTAGATATTTTTTTTATTTGTCTCTTTGGCTTTCTTTGATGAGATATCGAAAAATGTTAAACTTACGAGTACAACGAACTCGGATATTAATCTTTGAAAATTTGTCCTATTACTGCTATTTCGAAGATAGAAAGATATCTACGTTGAAAAGCCGTACTCGTAGTTGAAAAAATCGATCAAAATCGCTTTTTGTAAATCGATATTGTCATGGATTTCTCGAAGAACCCGAAAATTATCGAGTCCGACCTTACAACGTCAATCTTTTTCTATTTCTTTCTTATATTAGTTATTATTATTATTATTATTATTATTATTAATAATATTATTGGTACTTATTTTTTTTTTTTTATTATTTTTTATTTTTTATTTTTTTCTATTTTTTCTGTACCTTTCTTTTTCTCTCTCTTTTCAAGATGAAATTGTATCCGTAATATCTCATTATACGAACGATTCTTCGTTAACTATTTGTTAAAAGTAAAGTATGAATGTGTGAAGGACGTGATATATAATATATATTCATACGTATATATAGTATATATATCGAGATATACTTTATATACCTATATAATATATGTCCATATATTTCAGATGTGTCTAACTAGTATCGATTTAAATAAAAATCGTCAATAATAGTTTTTCTCTATGGTAACTAACAATACTATATACTCGTGCATTGCTATCGAGCGATATATCGATGTCGTTGATATTGAAAAGCTTTATTTCTTTGTTCCTTTATTCTTTCTTTTTTTTTCCTTTGTTATTTCAATACACACATTTTAAATAAATTTCACGATATTCGAGTGAGATGAATCGATTGAAAAGTCGGGTAAACGAGTTTTTTTCTTTTTTGATATCGTGCGAAATTACGAAACGCCTCTTATGTCAGGAAAAAAGAGCGTGAGTTATCCGCGAGATCTACGTGACTCGAGAGATGAGAGAGGGGTACTTGTTCGCAAGGGATAGGGGTGGTGGATTGGTTGGATGGAGTAAAGTGTCATAAGGTGGGGTAAGATGGTTGGTAGGAGAAATCGCGGAGGAGTCCGTGGTCACGTCAAGAGTTTTACTGCGAGGATCTGGAAAGGATCGCTGAGGATAGGAGAGCTAGAAGAGTCGTAGAGGTAACGAGGTCAACCATAGCTCTTCTCCATCCAGCTGCACCGTTCACGCAGGTCTCACGAGTTACTACAATCTTCAGACCTCGTCGACCAAGAAGATTGTGAACCCCTCGTCTGTCAGCCTCACCAAGCGTGTGTTCCCGTGAGAGTAGCAAGGAATAGAGTTGGCTTGTAGGGTTTCGCGAGCAGAAGGTCAACACCATGTCCGAGGCCACAGCTTTCATTACGTGAACGCAACCAATGAATTGTCTGTATTGGTTTCTTACCAACGTTCCTACGACAGAAAAATGCCCATGAGATTAGAATTTTTTATATCTTCCGGTGAATATATTTTTTCACTTTTTTTTATTTTTTATCGTTCTTACTTTATATATACATTTGGTATCTATTTATTATAGATAAAATTTCGGTACACTTAATGCATTTTTATATTACACATTTTATGTATTTACAATCATTGTATTAAGGTTGAGAGAAAATTTGTTGGACAATTTTAAAAAATAATTGGAGTAATTTGTCAACGGGAGAAGAAAAACATTGTTGTAAAGAAAATAATTGTAAAGAAAATAATTGATTACTTTTACGAGTATTACGTTTAACTATATTTAATTATTCTTTTACCAAATTTTTCTAGTATATAGTTAGTTTTTTCTAATTAATTTTCTATCTGTGTGTGTATAAAGTATTTCTATACAATATACAAAAATTCAATACGTGCACCTGAAACTTTTGGTCGATGATATATGTAAATATGTATCAAGGTATGTATATTAAGTAAACAAAAATGAAATAATGATCGATATTGTCCCGTTTCTATTAGAATATATCAATAACGTTATTGTGTATTTTTTCTTTCTTTTTCTTTTTTTTTTTGTTTTCATGTAAAAGGTAGTCATTATTGCATCCTAGTTGTCACCAGCAGATGTAAACGATAAAAGACAGGGGATGGAATTTTTTACGTGCCGTTAACTGCTCGATCGGTGAAAAGCGTTTTCAATGAAATGTCAGATTCAGCAGGGATCGTCGACATTTGTAAGAGCGATCATCGAAACGTCACACGCATGAAACTCCGTTCTGTTATGGACCGTATCGTATGAGGTGCACATTAAACGTGAATTAAAGTTTACATTTGTGACTGAGCTTTTATATACATATGTAATTCTCGTGTCTGCGAGTAGCTACGTGTAATTTTTAATCAAAGGTTAAGTAGCTATCTAACGACATAATGACACGTAATACGAGATACGTGTTCATATCTTGTTACTCTACAACACGTTTTCTAGTGAACGTTTTGACGTGAAACTAAAGTAACTAGGACTCTCACCAAGTGCTAATAGTCAATTTATAAACAGTGTTTTAATACTACTTTTATATATATATATCAAATATTTATATCTTCTACGCGCAGTTCAAGCAAAAGTCACTATCTAACATTTCTGATCATTATGAATCTGAGTTATTGCTTGTCAAACAAATTGTTAATGAGACGAATCAAATTTGGAAAAGTATGTTTTTTTCTTAAAGTTTTCTACCATGCTTTCTCTCTGTAAGAGAGTTGATAGTGAACTTTTCCTTAATTATTGTTTATAACATTTTAAGTAATGTAAATTAAATTAGTCATTTTTCGCTATAAAAATGTAGTTATCGATGAAATAATATGTTTTTTCCACCATTTTTCTTTTCCGATGAAAGTGTCTCTCACGGGATAGGAAACGTGAAAAGATTCTAATAAAAGTGAAAGAAATTAAAGTATCATTAAAAATCAAGCGACTCCGACGTGTCGAATTCAACGATTTTCTTGCTCTAACGAACTAACTATCAAAATTAGATAATGATGCGTCGTCGAGGTCGTTAAAGTGACTGTGCACAGATTTCGTTCCTACCTGCTGAACCTTCCTCGTTTATTGGCTGCCAAGTGCTGACCGGAGGACGAACACGAGTGTAAAAATTTACCTCACGTTTCGGGACCCACGAAAATTACGATTTTCAACGTCGAAAACGTAACAAACTCGTTCACCAATCCCCCCTTCCTATTCCTTTTCGTTTCTTTTTTTTCTCTTTCTCTCTCTCTCTATTTTTTTCTTTTTCTTTCCTCTATCTCTCTTCGTCTCTTTTTTCTCTATTTTTTTTTCTTTTTTGAGTACGAGCTTACGATCGTTGCATTTTGATGAGATATTTGCGAAGGAACCCAAAGAATTTACCATGGGAAGTAAGTACTTCTCTATTTTCACTCTCGTAAGTCCATAAAACGTCATCTCTTCGAGATCAACGAATTTCAACATTCGAGCAACGTGATTGTGCATTAGAGTTACGAGTTCCGATTCTTTAAAACGAACTCGTTAATTTATTGCTTCGACGACTTGAATGAAGCCTCCGACAATAAGAAATTTATTTGCTCCGTCCCATTCGTTTATTGTGAATTTTACGATCGTTAAAAAATCAAGATTTATTGATAAGAAATTTATATTTTACGATTTCAATATATATGATTACGTGTGAAACAGATATATATATATATATAAAGAGAGAGAGAGATGAAAAAAGATTTTGAAATGAAAAAAAAACGATTAAAAAAGCGAAGCTTTTATTAAATTATTTGCTTTTTTGAATTCCCCGCATCGGTGGAGTTTTCCTACGAATTTTCTCTGTTTTCAGTCATGTCTTATGTTAGTCGAAAATCGTAATTGGTTGTTCCAACATTGTAAATGAAAAAGGGAGAAAGATAAAATAGAGAATGGTAACAAATGCGAGGACAATGCATTTTCGTGATAGGACAGAAAGCTTTTCAAAGCGGAGATATGAAAAAATTAATTTTGAATTTGTAAAAAGATTTGTTTCGTAAGTATACCTTATTTTGTATACTTGTTCCATTTCTATGATAAAATTTGTTTTATGCCGACTTTAGAAAAATTTATCCTTACAGATAATAATTATTAGTCGAATATTTCCAATTTTTGTTTGTCCGATAGATATTTGTGTGACTAATCCAATTTTCTTTTTGATTATAAATGGTATTAACGATCTGCCATCTGCCTTTTTACGATCGAGCTAATACCTCGAGCATGGATTTCTCCTAATCGAAAAGGCAGCTGCATCTATAGTAATCCTGGACAATAGAAAGAAAAGAGAGAGAAAGAGAGAGAGAGAGAGAGACCTATGAAAAAGATAGGATATAAGAAAGAGAAGAACATAAAACGGTTGAAAAATTGTTTTTAACCGAGCGCCAGTGCTAATAATTATTTCCAACAGATTGAAATCCATTTTCCAAACCGAACGATTGTCACTTCCTCTACAAATGATACGAAACATAATTGTTCCATCGATTCGAATAATATCAATGGCTTGTTTTTTTTTTTCAAACTTTTTCTTCCAACTTTTATCGCGACATAATTAAACAATCCATCGATTTTATTATTTTTACATGTCCGTCGAATTTTATTTACAATCTTTTTGAGAAATATAAACATCGCATAATTCTATAACGTTTAATTGCATCATCGTCGTGACAGAACAATAGTTCCCAAATTGTATACTTTGGTGCTTTGGAAAGAGGGGGGGGGGAGCTATCGTTAAATATTATATAAATTTTATAATTTCAATTTCATTTCCGACTTTTTATTTGTCGCCTTGAGCAAATATAACAATAAATATCGTACAAAAATCAATACGGAAATGAAAGTGAGGGTGGTCGTGTCCAGTTTAATTCCACGATTTGAGATAATGCGCGGCGACGAACAGTTTCATTCGTCCCGCACCAATAATATAGTTAATTAAATTAGTTCAATTACATTTATTTGTTATTTAAAATACGTTTAATTTATTTTTATTTAATCCTTGCAAAAATTATTGGCTATTTCGTTAAGCGTAAATTTGTATTCGGCAAAAGTGACGAGAATCGAAAAAGTTTGATGTTGAATGTTAAGAAATATAAACATTATTTAACGATTATTAGAAAGAGATTATTATTACTTTTGAAAATGTTACTTTTTATTCGATAAAAATTTAATCCAACGAAGTTTGGACTTGAAAAGTGACCGTCGATGGTCGTAAAATTTGTTCTAAATACTTTCCGATATTAGAATCATGACCGTGGAGAAAAGAATTAATGAAAATATGGTAAGGACGAAAAGTAGATTTTGATTTTTAATGGCTGGCCATTATATAATCCTTAAGATAAAGTAACTTTGTGGAGGCTTTATGGTAACTTTATAGTGGTAGCTTGGTCGGCCTGTTAATCTAATTTATTCCTCAAACAGTTTCGAAAACTTCTTCTCGAATGGCCTCCAAAATACATCGGGAAGTTTATGCGATCGGTTATCTGGCAGCTTACGATAATCGTTTTCAAAAGAACTTTGCTTTTCCATTGGAAGTTGGTTCATCGAGCTATCTTTTTCTCTTTCTTTCTTTCTCTCTTTTGTTTCCTATCAAAACAGAGCCTTCAAAAAGACGGAATCTATCAAACAGTAAAGTAAATTTCTCTTCCCGTCCGTTTCGGACCATCGGAGTTACGTATATTCTCACTGAAGGTTCTTTATTTCCTCAATTGGTTTTCTTCTTCTATTTATTTTTCCATTTATATACACGCTGGAATGATTGAATTAAAAAAGAAAAGAAAAGAAAAGAAAAAAGAAAAAGTAAAAGAACAATGGGAAGAATAAAAAAGGGAATATTTGTAATTTGTGATAGCTCCGACCTTAAAATTATTTAACATAGGTTAGAATAAACTTATATAAGTATTTAACTTACGATGTTTTTATTCTTTTTTTTCTAATTTTTCTTTTAATATAAATAATCAATTCGAATAATACGCGTAATAAGAGTATAAAATCGTTTATGTTCCGAAAAAAGTCATTAAATATACTTTTGACCGAAAATGACTTATGTAGCTTCCATTGCTTAAAACATTATAAACAATTCAGGAAAAGTGGTCCTTGATCCGTATAACATATCAATGGTAAAAAAAGCATACTTTTACCAAACTCTTTCCCTTTAAAAATTTATTTGACGAGTAATAATTAGATTAGCATAAATATTAGTTAGGAATTTTTGGCTGAACATAGACGATATGTATAATGAAAAAAAAATACCATTTTGTAAAGAAGAGGAAGTCCAGAATCCGGGTCTCCTGGTTATGTCAGATATCCGAAATGTATATTCCAAGTTTCCAGCAGTCTCTGTCCAGAGAAGTGTCAGCGAGGAATATTCGTGCGAGCGTAGTTGAACGGTTGGACAGGAATCGAGAACTACGCGTTCACTGTTTATAGGTCTCATCGGATCGTTCCTATGTTCAAGAATTTCCACGACATACCACTTGCCCATTATCTGAAAACGGCACATAAATCGATTAGCTTATTATTTATATTCTCTTTCCATCTAATTGTAAATTTCTTATTATAATAGAATATATATTCCAAAGTATATTAACGAAAAATACAACGTTCGTATATTTAACAAAAATTATTTATATCATTTTAATTTCACATATGTGTTCATATATATATATGTAATTTTCTTTTTAAATTATAATTATCGATACGCTACAAAATTATTTTAGAATCACGTAAGTGAATTCAATAATTTTCTTAATTTTATTAACGTAGGAATTAAATTATCCGTCATTTATTTTTGTAACAGAAAGTGAAAATAAATTGGTTTTTTTTAGAAGCCTCATGATTAAATTAAAACTTACAGAAAAAAATCCATTTTATTATTTTCTTGAAATAATAATTAATAATGAATAAAGTTTAACACAAGTATGTAAACGATAAGGTGAAGGAATATATTGCTTGTAACTTATAGACAACTCAAGATATATATATATATATATATATAGAGAGAGAGAGAGAGAGAGGTCTCAATTGTTGAGATAATCCAGGAACTTGATAGTTCTATATTCAGGATGTACATAAAGGTACAAAGTGCTTAAACCAAATTACCGGCGATTTATCGAGCACATAATCGCCAAGCGATTAAGTTCTCTCTCTCTCTCTCTCTCTCTCTCTCTCTTTCTCTCTATCTCTATGTTTCTGTCTCTCTTTATCTAGCACGATTCTAGTGAAATGATAGCAAGTGAATAGAACGAATATAGTCTCCAGAGTATCCAATTCCCGTGGCTAGCCACGAAAATTCTTTTTATACTTTTATACGTTAAATTCATTGACCGAACAATGCGTAATTTCTATGAGAGAGAAAGAGAGAGAGAAACAGACGTAATTATTATATATCAATAGAAATTATTAACCAGACTTCCTAGGGATTATTTTATTCACTTTAAGGCCTTACATACGTCTAGCAGCGTAAAAAATGTGCTAAAAGAAAAAAATTTTTTTTTAGTAGAGATAAACAATAGAAATTAATAAAAATAAATAGTGCACATTGTTTATTGGTATTTAAACTTTATACAAAATTTTATTTTACTTTATTTTTACAAAAATTACTATATAAAAAATCACGTGATCCACAACACTAATTGTAAGAAAAAAAAAATTGCTTCACGGTCTATATTATATTTCCTGTAAATTTTGATCGATCTACAGAATTTAGAAAAATTCTTGTAAAATAAAGTTATCGTTATAGTTGTCGAGCCGGAATTTTGAATTTCGGAAAATTTAGCAATTTGTGGCGATTTAAAAAAAAGTATGCGTTTTACGTCATAAATTTTACACTTTAATTATTTTAATAAAATTTTTAAATCAAAGTATCCAAAATCCGGCTCGCGCGACAGATTATAGAGAAAACGATTTCGAATATTTAAAAAAAGTCGCATTAAAAAATATTAAAAATTGTATGAGTTATCATGCCGACTGTGGTGGAAAAAGTAGTTTCGAAAAAAACGCATTTAAGGTTTTAAGTGTCTTAAACAAACGATAGCAATCTGCGTGCACCAAACTCTCGTCGGGCAGTCACATTTTCTACCTTAACTTTGCATCTATAGAGAATTTTTGCAATTGACTTCTACAGAAATAAGCCTAAAACTATAGAGAACAACAATCTGTTAAAAAAGAAATCGATTTTTGGAAAATTCTGGATATATGTAAGGCCTTAACGCTTGCATAACTTTTCGACGATTGTAATTTTATTCATCGGTTAATTTTCATTGCATCGAATTTAATTAAATTTCTCTAATATTCGAGCCAGTTATATATAATTAAAATAAAATTATTTATTAATAATTCTCTGTTTCTTTTCTCTTTTATTCTTTTCAATTATTTGATGATACATTTTATCAATGTTGTACTAATTCCGAGTAAGTAAAGGTGTCGATGAAAAGCTTCAACCGAGCTTTAAAAGATCTTTGTAATAAGAGAAAGATAGAGAGAAAAAAGATCTCATATCAATGGAACGTGAACTTGGTAATTCTTTATACAATTCTCATTTGCGAAAGATCCAATGAAATGAGACGTTTAATTGAGCCTTGCGCTTAAATAATTGGTATCCTGCAACTAGTGATGGTACAAGCGAGTAAAGGATTATTTTACATGGAAAAACTAATTGTAAGTCGAAAATGTGGAATAACATTTGTTGAGTACTTATGCACTTGACTGAGCTTGCAACTTTGTTCGATAAACATAAGAGTAGAACTGTTGAAGAGTAGAACTAAGCTGAAACTAAATCAGGTGCATGCGTACTTGACAAATTTACAAATTTATTTATCTCCAAAAACAAAGTCTTATTTGGACAAAATTGTATTTTACATTTCAAACTTAATTTTTCATATAGAATAATCCATTGTTTGTTTGTACCACCAATTACAAAAGACATCCTGTAAACACAAGTTGTCTCTGAGAGAGGAGAGAACAAACGTCTAAACAATTTATATATGTATAATAATTCTTTCGCTAGATGAATTTAGTGAAACAGTGACAGTGTTGAAATTCTTCGTGAAAGAATTTGATAAAATATTTACAAAATCCGCGTAACATTTGGACATATATAAAAAGTAAAACAGTCGTTGGTAAAGTGGGCAACAGCAGGCTTGTATACACGAGAATGTCATTTTGAACGTTTTTTTTTATGAAAGTATATTAAAAGATAGAATTTATTCAAAATCAAATCAAGGGTATGTATTCATATGAACCCTTTCTTTTTATTTTATTGCTGTTAGATGTGCTGAAGTGGCTTTTTTTAAGTACATATGTATACATATATTCATATCTATATCTATTTGTAGAATCTCCGTTGCAATTAAAAGTTTCGCACATATGATACCCGAGTCTCTGTCGAATCTCATTCGGTGCGATTACTGAGCTACCGACGAGGCCAACATGTTTCCGAGTCGTATTCGTTCGTTCTCTCCTCTACGTTAATAAACGCAACGCGTATATACATATACTCGACTATTTCTGCAAATTCACGCGTGCGCGCGTGAAAGTACGTAGTACACGATTTTACTGTCTCGCGTTACGCCAAGTACAGTCCGCAATAAACTCCGAGAGATTTTTTTTTGTTCTTTCTTTTTAATACTATTTTTGTCATATGGAAAGAAAAACGAAAAAGAGGGTCAAAATCGATATCGACAAATTATTACAAATTTGTACCATTTTCTTTTTCAAATATTATGAATTTTCGTGTGAATATACTCGATTAACCTTTGAACTAATTAAATCGTACGAAGTTTATCGATTAAACGTCACAGATTCAATCAGTTTTCGTATATATATATATATGTATATACAAATATAGTTAAAATAAAAAATGAATGTTTTTTAATTTTCTCGTATTGGGATTGTCGACTGTAATCATTGTTCCCGACTGTACTTGATATACAGAGAACAATGCGAATAACGCAGCCCTGATATTCGGTAGTTCAGTTTGCCTGTTCATTACTTTAATTGGATCGCGTCAGGCCGAGAAATTACGCAACCTTTTAATAGGTCACCAGCGAATTTCAAAAGGACTCGTGGATGGTATAAGCGTGAGAGAGAGAGAGGGAGAGAGAGAGAGAGAGAGAGAGAGAGAGGAAAAATGGCATAGAGCAATAGCTCGTAATAACCCAGGTGGACGAACATTTTATGAGCGTACAACGCGACGTTAGCGATCCTCGTAGCACTCTTTGTATTTCCCATTCAGTTACGAAGATCGTAGGGTTTAACGATAACCGACCAACGTTTTATACATTACATTCAAAGTCGGCAATTAATCGAATACGTGCTCCTGACGTTTTATGTTATCATTTTTTTTTTCTTTTTTAACAACGTCACTTACTATATTAATCGACTTTTAAAACGAGCGTGGTATTGAAAAACTAATAACGCAATGCATAAAAAAAAAGAAGCAAAAAGTAGGTACGAATTAAATTTGATTAATACGAGAGTTAGAAATTTGAGTATATATATATTATAGTATTTATAAAATAAAAGCAAAAATGAAAGTAACTTAATCTAGATATTGAATCGGTGTACAGTGAATGAAGACAATAAAGAGATCTATAACGTACAAAGTCTCTTTTGTAGCACTAATCAACGAAGCGTGTGGTTCCTTGTAAGCTCGCGGTTACGCAATAATGTAATAACCGTCAGCAAAAGATCGTCCCTTTATGGGGCTATTCGCGAATAGATATTTTCACGAGGCAACGGAACGACAAATACGAACACGAATCAACAAAATTGTATATATATATATATAAAGTAAGAGAAAGAGGGAGAATGTATGTGTGAGTATAGGGATGCTCGTGCAACGTGCATACGCCATCCGGGTTTCTCTCTAACCTTTATTTTCGTCGTAAATTATTGTCATTCTATTGGATAGTTCTCCTCCTCCATTCTATACTCTCTCGCAATGTGGTCGTGAGCTTTAAAATTAACGACATAGTAAATACGTTTCTGGCCGATCGTTCAATGCGAGGACGCTTTCAAAGTCACCAAAAAATATCGAATTGTTCAATGATCCAAGCATACAACACACACTTTGATTTCGGTTATCTGAATTTTACAATTATGCACGAATTGACCGAAGAGAATTGATGATTGTTGCTTCACCGTTCGAAATCACTTGTAAAGGACGACAACGGTATTAATCACTTTTACGATCGACGATATTCTATTTTTATTAAAAAAGAAAAACAAAGAAAAGGAGCTTCGATAATTAAATTCTATATTATTAGAAAGGTCCTTGTTGTATTGCATGAAACAAAATATAATTGTCTAGAATTGATCGTGAAAATAATATATTATAATGACACACGACGTCAATGGCATCATCAAATGTTAAATTATAATATGATAAAATTGAGTGGTGAAACGATTGAGTTAGATCGTGAAATAATAGGATAATGATTTTTAAAAGAAGACGAAGTAGTCTCACGTGTTGAGAGAAAAGACAAA